TCTGCTCAATTCAATTAAAAATGAAAATACAGATTGTACATTGTACAATTCTAAAACACTCGCTATCAAGATTAAAACCATTCTACGTCTGCTTGATTCGAGATAAATATTTTCTTTTTCCTCCGTCCAGAACGTACCTGAAATTTAAAAAAAATGGCCTAAAATGGCGATAACTTCTGGACTAAAATTGCGACGCCAATTACATATTCTACAATACCAATTATGAAACTACAACAGTCCATAGGCGTAGCCAGGGGGGGGCCAGAGGGGCCATGGCCCCCCCCCAAAATTTCAAGAATTCCATTCCTAATCCACCAGTTTTGTGGCATCTTGTCTCGTCACGCTTGTTGATTGTCATTGTTACGTCACAAAGACTTGACCGTTCGCTCTTATGAGCAGTATGGGAAAGACTGTTTCGCAAGCTTTCGGTCAGTTGCTCGGTCTTGATTTGTTCTCGCCGGATTTTTATTCGAAACGCTTGAATTTTGATGACCAAATTACTTCGATGGCTAAATTTAAACAGGCGAAATTAGATAGTTTTTTCCAGCGAAATAAAGACTCGCTTTCCTCAAATACATCAATAAGCGCTTCTCAGGCTGTGGATGCACCAGTTACGTCAGTTACGTCTATCACTTCTATTCCCGAAGATGAACTAATAATCAACGAAGGCAAAACAAACGATCTTGGATTTGTTCTTAAGAAACATACACAGCTTACCGATGCGGAGAGATACAGGCTTCTAACTTCGGATGGTCCGAAAAACGTGACGATTCTGGATACTGTTAGACAAAGTCGTCGTAAATTTCTCAAAAAATGGCTTGACGATAACAGATTTTGCAGTTGGTTAGTTTACACCCAACTCTCTGATGGGGGTGGTTTGTGTAAGATATGCATAGTCATGCAAGCACGTTTGAAGCATGGAACTCTCAGGGACACTGCCTTTGTTACAAGACCATGCATTGACTACAAAAAATTTATGGAAAAGGCTGTAGCACATCGAGACACAAATTACCACCGAGAATCAAATATAGCTGCGAAAAATTTTGTCAAAAGCATGGAAACTGGTCAAAATGTGCGTGCAAACATGGAGGCCCAATATGCTACGCAAACAAAAGAAAACAGACGAATAATGACTTCCATTGTCAAGACTGTCATGTTCTGTGCTTCGGGTAACATATCCTTGCGCGGACATTCCGGGGATAGTGGAAATTTTGTGAACCTTCTTCTATTTCTTATCGACGCAGGGGATGAAGATTTGAAAAGGCATTTCGCTCGAATGGCCGGAAACGCTAAGTATACAAGCCCGATGATACAAAATGAAATTCTCAAGGTAGCAAGCAACATGATAGTGCAAGATATCGTTATGGAGGCTAATAAATCGTTTGTGTCCGTAATAGCCGACGAATCATGTGATATTTCTGGGAAAGAACAACTAAGCATCGTTTTGAGGTATGTGAAAGGTGGTGAAGTGTGCGAGCGCTTCACAGGATTAGTGGAAATGGATTCTGTTTCTGCCGAATCAATTTCCTCAAATATTTTGACCCACCTCTCTGGTATAGGAGTGGATTTGCAAAAACTTGTGGGGCAAGGCTATGATGGTGCAACGACAATGGCAGGTCACGTCAGCGGTGTGCAAAAACGCATTCGTGATAAATACCCGCGCGCAATATTTGTGCACTGCGCTTCTCATTGTTTGAATTTGGTCATAAATGACCAAAGTAAAGTTGCAATCATCAGAAGCACCTGTGATATCATTCGTGAGACTATTCGTTTTTTCAGGGAGAGCCCTAAAAGGCGCGCGGGTTTAGGAATTAACATCCCTTTGTTCTGCCCCACCAGATGGTCTGAGAAGTACAAGAGCATCCGAATCTTCAAATGCAACTTCAAACGAGTACTTGAGGCTCTTGATTCTTTGGCGAGAGATGCTAACAGTGAGACGCGGGCGAAGGCTTTTTCTCTGAAATCTGCTCTAGAAAAGTCGTCGGTTATCTACGCCGTATGTTTGATTGGTCGATATTCGGCACTAATGGAGCCACTAGCGCGCGCACTTCAGGCGGTCGGAGTCAGTGTGCCGTCAGTAAAGAACCTCACATCCTCTCTTCAGAGCGTTATCGCTGAAGAACGCAATGACTCTGAAATCGCATTGAATATTTACAAAGAAGCTTGTGAAATAGCTGGCTTGAAAGAGTTGACAATACCCAGAGTAGTCGAAGTACCAGTGTATCGCGACAATGTCTGTGCTGATTCAGCATCCCAGTATTTTAAACGTTCCGTATATCTCCCATACGTCGACGGCTTGAGCTGCTCTATTCGGGAACGCTTCATTGAAAACCCATCATTTTTTTCATTGCTATCAATTCTTCCACCGAACAAACCAGTTCACGTGGATGAGGTAGAGCATCTGTATTTATTGGATAACCTCCAGAATGAAGTGAGACTGTGGAGAACTTCTTTAAGTTCCGACGTTAACGACGAATGTTTGGAGGGACTTCTTTTGAGCGCTCGAGATTATCCAAGCGTGTACACCGCAATACAGATCGTTATGACGCTACTAGCAACCACCGTTGAGGCTGAGCGGTCTTTCTCCTGCATGAAACGGGTAAAGACATGGCTGCGCTCATCAATGACGTCCAATCGCCTTTCTGATTTGTGTGTGCTTCACTGTCACCGTGAAATGGTCACCGAGGAGAAAATTAATCGAGTTGTGTCGAGCATAGTTAGCGGGAAGCGAAGGATGGACTTTTAATCGGGGCGATGTATTTTACTTATTTAAATTGCGTTGTTAATATTTGTTGTTTCAAATAAAAAATTGTTTATTAATGGATTTTGTATTCACAAAAATCCAGCTGAGTAATTGAATCAGTTTGCTTGTTGACCAACTGTTGTTGTTTTGCGCTTGAAGAACGGGTGTTTTAAACCCAATAGTATTTCTAAAATTTTCAAATTTGGCCCCCCCCAAAATTTTGGGCTGGCTACGCCACTGTACAACACCACATTCTTGGGATTGAATAACACTTTGACAAAGGATCACTTGGGACAGCGAAAATTGACAGCATTCGACTCCAAACCAGACAGCCGTGAGTTAAATAAAAACGGGACAAGCGTGTCAATAGGATTTGAAGACATGTAATTCACAATATTCAATACAAAACATTTATGAAATATTTTAGGTCATTCTCATTTTGAGTCGCCAGGCAAGCCGACCTTCAACTGGCAGCAAACAACACATAAAATCTATATTGATTTCATTTTAGATATGGTACTCTCGAAGTATGAGAACCGAGATGGCGGACACCGGAATGAGTGTGTACCAGGTTAGGGCTAGGCTATAATTCCAGGGACAAATACTACGGAAGTCACTTGGCTAGTCCCGGAACTTGAAATAGAATTATGGCCCAACCCCAACCTGGTACTACCTACATATTCATTCCGGTGTCCGCCCATCTTGGTACGCATACTTCAGGAGTACCAACAAATTATAGTTGGGCGAATATTCTTGAAATTCAGAATTGCAGCTAAAATTGGGCATTAAATATATCGATAAAGATATTGATTGAATAATTGTTACTATATTTTACGCCTTTATAAGAAGACATTGAATATTTACTCCTTTTATCCCGATTTGTAAGATTCATTTCGCCTCGATCCGCTGTTCTGGGCAGAATCTGAATGATAAGTTACGAGTTTTAAAAAATGCAGAATTTCTTTACAAGAATATTAACTATTCACATATATGTGGCTATTTGATGAAGTGCGATGTTATGTGTAATGGACACACGGCTGTTTTCTTCCCATTGAGATATTGGTGAAATATGATTCTTATTGTGAGTGGCAACTCTGCGAACTGACCCAATCGAATGATGAATTTTGTGTTTTCAATAATAAATCTTGGTGACCTATTACAATAGAAGTTCCCATACAATCATGGCGTTGAAATAGGAAATTTAAATATCTTATTAGTAATCAAGATTGGATTATTGAGTTATCAGGTATCCAAAAATGCCTCGATTTAGTATTCAGTGCCAGTTTAGCAGGTGCTCCCGAAGTATGTGCACCAAGATGGCGCACAACCTGAACATAGTATGTGTACCAGGTATCAGGTTGTGCGCCATCTTGGTGCACATACTTCTGGCGACTATTTTGTTCCCAGTGACTAGTGAGTTATTGATAAAGCATGATTCTTATTGTGGGTGACAACTCGGCGCGAACTGACTGAGTGATGAAATTAGCAAGTATTCAAAAATGCCCAGCTTTAGTAGTTAATGTCAGTTCGCAGTGGAAGAGATACATCGAAGTAGAACTTACCAACTGCAGCTATCCCGAGACTAGGATATGATTTTTGGAGAATATACGGGTGAAATATTTCATTCCGGCTTCGTCTCCATATATTTGAGCATTGCTATCTTGTTCCTTCAAAATCTCATTTCGCATTCGTACGCCTGCTATATAATAAAGCATTTGGTGTAAAAATATTTTGGCGCAAGATGGAAGAAAGATAATAGCCGTATATTAATGTTTTTCAGCGTTTAAGTTAACAGAGCTGTAATAAGTTGGTAGAAATAATTATTTGATGCTGTACAACTTCATTGGTATAATCACAAAAATTCACAATAATCACAATACAGCTTCGTTTATGTATAGAAAAACTTATGGTCACGATCGTTCTTGTTGAATACGGAAAATCATTGAGAACGCAGAATTTACTTTTAAGATTTTGTTGTTGATGAAGCGCTTGAATTATTTAAAATCATACATTTTACAAACAATACGAACAAACAATATACGTCTTTCTTCACAAATAAAAATATTTTTGATATAGAAAACATATTCGACCCACCTGTCCATTTACATCGATCAATTTCCCCTCGGCCACCAGCAGTAACAATATTTTCTACCTTCACAGAGACCTGTAATTAAATTGGAAATTATAAAACCTTTGCTCATAATCAAGTTGTAATAATAACTTTAGATTTTGTAACATTTTTAGGCCAGCTATCTACCTTTCCATTTACATCGACCAATCGTCACTCGTCCACTAGCAGTAACAATATCTTCCTTCTTCGCAAAGCCCTGTACTTAGATAAAAAATTATAAGGCCTTTACTTTATAATCAAGTTATGATGAGACTGATGAACTAAAATGGTGTTAATTTTTAGATCAATTACTTACCTTTCTACCTACATCAATCAGTCGTCACTCCACCATCAATCAGGCCAATAGCATTTGACGGTAGATATGTCTTCTCTTTATGTCTGTAATTTGAAAGTAATAGTTATGACTTACAATTTAGCGATGATACAAAGTTCTTGTGCAAAGTAAGAAATTATAAACAGCACTTTGACCCGGATTACAACTTACAAAAAAAATGACCAGAAAACAAGATTTTATCCATAAAGAAAAACGTTGCAAAACACGTAAATAAATACACTCGAAAGGTATATAAGAAAAGAAACAAGAACTCAATGCTGAAATCTATATTCATCATATAACACTCAAATTTCTGAATAGGACTAAAAAATGCGCTACTTAATCGAAATAGATTATTATTCATAAATCTTCAAGCTCTAGCTTAATTCAAAATAGAATGGAAGAATGGCAATGAATTAGTAAACTTTGTTATATCTGGACCTTCCCTGTCTTGAAACTGTTCATATACCCTGAGCATACTAGCGCAGAAACGACCTCTCACTACCACGCCCTGACTGAAATGTGGCACGCGCGCCAAATATTTTTTTAAGGGAAAAAGAAAAGAAAAAAGGCAGTATCAAAGAGAAACACAAGGAGAAGGAGTTGTCATTTTTAATAAAGAAACGAAGATACTCTAATCTCATTCTCACTCTGATCAGTGGCCAATGATTGTTGTTTACTATTGGAAATAAAGAACGTAGATTTATTTGGGATGTGACTGAGAAGATTGTATGATTACACCACATTCCATGGAACGTTCATCAAGACAATATTATATAATAACCTTTATCAAAGACAATATTTGTTTGTTGTTATTCTATTTGTGTTTTGTTATAAGCCCAGTCTCGACTAAACATGTTTTAGGAGTCATAATAGGGCATTAGTGACGTTTACGGGGCTTCACTCCTTTGGGTAATTATAATCGGAATTGATCTTATGCGACGTCTGTTAACATGATCTACATGCTACAGCAGACGTGGGCAAAGTATACGGCCCGCGGGCCAAATCCGGCCCGTTGGGTAATGCAATCTGGCCCGCCCGATGCTGCCACAACAAAACCGAAATCGAATTTTGATGTTCTAGCTAAAAATAGCTATTGTTGAGATTGTGATTTGCAACACTGTAAATATTGTTCATAAAATGTTACTTTTTACGTCACGCTTACATGGCCCGCCAGTCTAAGTGAGTCAAATTTTCGGCCCCTGGTTCAAAAACCTTGCCCACCCTGCTATACAGCACTTCACTCCATGTTTGTAATTGAGTATAGGTACACATATACAAAAAGCAATACAAATACAGGGTGAAGCAATACAGGGTGTCCATTACAAATTCAATTTTGTTATCTTAACCAGGTTTGTTTGTTTTTAATCAGCAATTCTTCAAGTATATATTTTATACATCTGTGAGGGCAAAATCTATAAATGGCATTGATAAATTCCATCTGCAAGTTTAAAAAAGTTCCAAGACTTTATGGACACCCTATATGTCCCTTAACTAAACATCATTTAATATTTTGTTGATCCTGGGTCAGTTTATATTTATATATAAGTTATTCTTTCCACAACACGATAATACCATCATCGAATCTCCTTGGAATTTTACTGGTGACTTTACTCTCACGTCACACATACATTACTGGCATGCATTTCACCAAGTATCTCAGTGGCATAATAGTATGATATCCCACCCATACCGCAAAGTTCAATGTTTGGTGTAAATTATTCAACCTCGGATCAAGTCTTAAAAACTTCAAAACTTATCAAAAACAATCAAACTTATAAATGACAACGAATCCCGGAGCCTGTAGCAAAGATATTGTTCACTTTTTATTTACGGGGGTGATAAGGACGATCAAACCCGACACGTATAAGATCATAATTAATCTGAATAAAATTGATTTGGATATTTGATTCACAAATACCTTTTTCTTCTTCGAATGAACGCGCAGTTCTGCGAGGAATAAATAAATATAAGCATCGATATCGCCAGTGCGCAAGACTTAATATGTTCGTAATAAGGGAACCAACTTTTGAATGTAGATGGCCAGAACAACCATGAAACATACCGCACCATTGAATAAAACACTCAAATAGACAAATCGTCGGTATCGCTACTGTTTTTGCAACAGCCGACGTGAATTGAAAGCGAAGTCTGGAAATTTTCATTTTGAGATTGTTTAGCATACAATAAAAAGAAATCTAGATATCTATCTCTAGAAACAACGCCAGCCAAGAGACTAGAAACCTTTCAATAGATATACCTAAGTGATGTTTCTTGCGTGTTTGAACGACGCGGAATAATGTTTTTACGAGAAGTGTGAATACCGGATCAGATTTGTGGGATCGGGTAAAGTTTAGTGTATTTTGAAATATACCGCGCGGGCGACTCGAAACTCTGTCGTGTATATGAAAACCCTCATGCAAGATTTCTAAAGCTGAATTTTTCGTTTGTAATTGTGAGTAAAAATTGTTGTCTCGCCGCGCATCATTTTTTTTGCTTGAGACCTCAATAGCTCAGTCACCATTCTACTCCTTTTTATGACCGACACATTTTCGAATGTCATTGTAAACATTTTTGCAGTTTTGAGTGTCTTTGTTAGCTTTCAATTAAACATTCCATAATGGTATTAGGTGTAAGTCGTTAAAAGTTAAATAAATTGAAAGGTATTCTTCCGGACAGTTGAAGTATTTTAGTATAAGGAACGGCCCTAAAGACCGGAAATTGAAATCTGTACCAATGGGATCAAACAAACTATTTTTAGATGTGCAAACCCCGGCACGAGGCCAAACAATTTTAGCGTATAATGAAACCATTGGCAGATATTTTTCATTGTTTTTAGCTGAATTGACTAGTGTTGGGATCCCGAGATTTAAATCTCTTTCCTAATCCCGATGTCGGGAATGATGTTTGTTAAAATCAAGGCATTTCAATATTGTACCTTTAAACGTCAAGACGGTGGTAATATGGAATGGCGTCTTGTGATCATCGATGCAGGATTAACGAATTGTCTTGTACTGACAGGACCCAGCCGATCAAATGAGTCGCGCTTTTTATTTCAACTTCGCACCCCAGGATCGCATCAAGCAACTCCTTTTTTGAAGAGACGTTTTGTGCCTTTGATTTTGTAAAACACTCCTCTACTTTAAAGCGGATACGAAACGTAGAACTAACTTAGCGCCGAGCGATCCAGTTTTTTTTTAGCTGGGTCCCGAAACCATGGTGAAATACCATGGTACTTAGCGGGAAGCGATTTAAAGTATTTAAACGTTTTAAATAATCTTCCTAAAAATAAATAAAAAACCATCCATGCAGCATAACAATAGGCTAATTAATATTATTATTAACAATAATTATCAGGGTGAACTCTCATTCTTTAATATATTTAAAGTAAGTAAACTGGCGTATCACTATTGGGTTTTCTCTGACTGCGGCCCACGAGACCTCCTCAAACGTTTTTGCGTCCCTTCAACCTTGGACCACTCTGAATTTTAAGTAATTCCGAAAATTCAGACGTCATTTTTTCATTGGATATGTTTCAGTTTAGTAATCAGTATTGATCAGTAATCAAAAATAGGATGGGGCTGAGCTTTCAAAAGAAGCAGTCCGTACTTTTTTATGGTGATTGCTTAAAAATTTGGGACAAATTATGATATTGCAAATCTAAGCCAATTTACGCTTCGACTCGCAAAAATACTTTACTTCAGCCTTCGTTATATCTGTATTAAGAGCACCATTACTGCGGATACACCAACGGTCATCTTTCTGCAGCAAGGCAGAATACTGTATTCATATTTAATTCGACTTAATCGTATGAAAAACCACGGCCTCTCTATAACAGTGGTTCCCAACCGCTGGTCCGCGAAGCTTTTTCGTCGGTCCGCGAAAAATGTCGGTATTTGTGTTTTTTCTGCTGTCTCAATCGCTTTACCGAAGACGGAGTAGCATTGGTGTATTACGCAATTTCTCTTCCGCCGTCATATCGCTGTTTGATAAGCGGTAAATGGTCGAGCGACGTCTTGGCGCCGAGTAATCACACTTTTCGCTTCTGGTCCAACGCAAAAAGCGCTCCGTCAAATCTCGCAAGATTCAGAAATCTAAAAATTGGCACGCGTGCTTTTTTTCTGTTCTGCATGCTTTTCCCGATTTCCCGACTTTGTCATTGTAATGTGAATTGATTTTGTTTTAGACTACGATCAACTTCAGAGGAATTAATATGACGAACCCGATGAAAAAGAAAAAGCTCGATTAAAGTTTTGATTCTACTTTACGGTCGAGATTCAAAAAAGAATCACTGTCACAATTCTGGATATCTCTTGATATCGAATACCCATCGTTAAATAATGATTTGGCATGTACATGTTTCTCATGTAAGATGTTTTTTGTGCCTTTTTTACGCAAAATGGGTGCCCAGCACTACGTTTTATTACGCAAATATATGGTAATATTTTATGTTCCACCCATTTCAATTTTGGTCGGCACATTATTTAATAGTTTGTCTGTATATCAAATATTTTCAAGTGTGCCTTTTTTTTTTATCCAGAAGCATAGTGGGTGCTTGACATTGCATTATATCACGCAAATATATGTTATTATTTTATGTTCCACTCATTTCAATTTTTTCCGGTCGGCGAGTATATTTTATTTAATTTTACTCGTCCGCCAGGGTAGAAAGGTTGGGAACCACTGCTCTATAGGATATGCCGGGACTAGTTATCTATTAGCAATATGGACTTGATGGCGACGGGGCCTAAACTGGCGTTTAAATGAGCGAGGGGTCGGCAGAAACGGGATGTGCGATAACATGCGTACTCCGAACGAACGCTCAGCACCATGATCAAACCGTCGACCCTGGTTCCCACATTCTTTTGTCAAGTGCCAGTATCTAGCGCTGAAAATCCATAATTTAGCAACTGTTCTTAAATCTAATACTGGAGATTTGTCTAATCAGCATGGGGCTTACAATTAAACAATTCTATTCTAAACGCGGCGGTATGGCTCCTCGTGCTAAGCGTTAGGAATACGCTCGCCATCGCACCTCTAATTACTCTGCGTGGATTCGAATTTCATGCGGGGATGGTTGTGTGCGAGAGGTCAGCTTGACTCCTCGCCGATACAGGGTGGTTCACGTAACCGCTGTTCGGTTACGGCTTCCAGCACCATCAAGTCCATGCTTCCGAAAAAAAAAATAACTAGCTAATCCCATACCCAACATGGAATGGTAACCGGACGAGAGGCCATGGTTCGCCATACGGTTAAGCCGCCTTATCGGCTATCCTCTCCGAAATCCTATATCCGAAATAACTTAAAACACCGTGAGATCCTCTTTTTGAATTTCTTTAGCTTGTCAAGGAAAATCAGAGTTCCTGCACAAACGGAAATCATTCTCATTTAACAGTCAACATCCGGCGTAAAAAATCAATAGAACATGCAAAGGAAACGAAGCGCAAAACACGCAGATCTCCAGTCAATAGTTGAAGAAGGGTTCACCTCTATAAATTGGGAAATACGAATTCAGTAAACAAACTCAGCGTCACCGGCACCGCACAATTTGAAACCAAGGTTGGCTTTGCCGGCCGGGACTACGCCTCAACATATTCATTGAAACGTGCAACACCTACTTTGTTTGATCTTGTGCGCCGCTGTTGACTGATTGTACAAGCCCGGTACAATACCTGGTCATAATACTTACAGTAAACCGTACCACACAGATCATTCAGTGTTACACATGTGTTTGTCTGATCTTATGCGACGTTATTTCGCTGATAATTGACAATACGTAACTGATTGTGGCTAGCCTGAAGGTTTAGTCATTCATTAACTATGGCAAATATTGACGACGACACAACTTCAGTTGAACGAACAATGCTTGCTTTCTCGCCATTGTGCTTAGGCGTTCTATGCAGTATCACTATCAAAACCAAGCCGGACATCCATTTTACAGCAATTCTGGTTTCACAACCAAACCAAAAACTAGCATTACAGGCCAAAGCAAAATCACAGCATTATTTTTCAGCATCTCTCATTTAAATAACATCTTCTCTATATACCAGCTGAAAATTAATCGCAAGAATCATCTCAAGTGCTAATAAAGAAGCACAAAGAAGCTGCAGAATCTGCCAAACAAGGCTAGATAGATTCTAGAACTTCACCAAAATTATGAGACTGTACAATACATATCATTTGATAAGTAAAACACTAAATAAGCTAAAACAAGCATATCACAAATAAATTCATAATATGTACAGCTATGACAGCCCACAAACTATGATACATGTAAAATCATGCGATTAAAATGTCAAAATTTGAATCAAACCTGAAAATTTGTGCTTACACAAGAATCCGAGAATAATTATGCAAAGCTAATGTAACATTAAAATTCACTGAGGAACAAATATTTTTTAGTAGGGTTTATTATAAGTAATTGATGAAATGCCTGCATCTTTAAAACATAATTTGTAACGAAATTTATAACTGGTATAGTCAAGAAAGGAACATAAATATACAAGGGAACATGATGCGAAGAAATCAGTTGAGCTCAGCAAGCAAGAGCTGGAACAGTAAGTGCAGAATGAGGCCTGTCATCTATAGCAAGAGTTAATTAGCAATTTGCGTAGATTGCGGAAGTGATTTTAAAATTCCTTTCAATGTATTTAGTTCATGAGTTAGTTCATTTACACGGTCATGCAATCGCTTGTTTTCATTTGATAGGTCTGCCACTTTCCGTTGAGTTTCCATTGATTTAATTTTGGCCTTATCTCTGCTCTTCCGGACAGCAACATTATTTCTTTCTCGTTTAACTTTGTATTCCTCACTATCTTTCGGAAGATTCTTAGCCCTTTTGCTAGGCTTTGGCGATTTACTGATATCTGTTGTGAGTGCTCTCTTTCCGTTGGTGTTATATATTTCTTCGGTTTCACCATAATTTATCCCCGTAAGTTGGTCCCTTGATGGGACTCGAATTAAATCTGGAGCTAAAGATTTCTGACAATCGTTGTTGTTTTGATCTTTCTCGGTTTTTATAAAATAGACTCGATTTAATTGAGTACTATCCGGCTCATTTTTTATTGTAACTAATGTTTCATTTGCAATTGTATTCCCAGGATCTTCACAAAGAGTTATTGGTGTTAATTGTGTCCGCGACATTGAGAATTGAGAGAATCTATCTTGTTGAAAAGTTGCTGTTGACGAATTGTTTCCGGGGATGACTCTTGTTGAAGTTTATCAGACAGCGGAGTTACAGGTGGTGTGTTGAAAAATTGAACAGGAGAAGGTGCAGCTGAGGAACAAGCAGACGAGTATGCTGACCCTGGTTCCGTCCACCAGTCACCTAATTCAGATTCGTAGGGATCTGGCTTTTCAGATTTAACAACAGTGTCGTTTCCAGATGGAAATAAAGATTGAAATAAATCGTCGTCGCAAAGTTCCAGATTAGCCGAGGTCATATAATTAGTAAGATCAATGGAATCTTCGTTTTGATATAGATCAGAGATATCGAAAGATGTTTCTTGAGACATGGAGTTTTTGTTGTTATTCGTGGTACTGCCAAAGCTCATATCTTTTGCCATGTTGACAACATATTTTAAAAAAACTACTATTATCTATAAGAATAGAAAATATCATATTTTGAAATACAAATTAACAGAAAATCAATGTTGAAATCAAATTATCGCAAATGAATGTGATCGTAAGGCATAGCGATTATGCAAACAGAGAAGCCGTCAAATCTGTCTAGAATGACTAACTGGTTCCCCAACATGCGTTCACTTTATATGATGGCAATGCTTGTCTCATTCTATTCTTTACCTTCTAGGATAAAAATGGCAGATACGGTAATCCTATCTAGATAAGCGACGAAACATAAAATAAAAAGACCTCTACTGCTCATTGAAAATGTTGGTGAATTCAGTCTGTCTACCCTCACATGGAAGAAGAAACAGTGTAGTAAATGCGAAAAAAGAATGGTATTTAAAAAATATCTACCATATCACATGTATAATGTCACCTAACCTACCGGCTATCAGACCATTCTGCCATTTATTGTACATACTGCTGTACTATAACTTATCTGGAGTTTTCCAAAAGAAACAACCCCTGTTAAACAAGTGGACATAGCCTAGTCTAGCAGTCCGCAACGCGATTAGGCTATCTATTTATTCATAATCTATATACGATTCAGCCCTTTAAAATTCTATTCGTTGATCAACAACACCTGAATACCCAATTCTGCGCCAAAGCTTGTCCTACTGTCCTAGTTCTAATCAATTGATCACTCAAACAGATAATAAAATCTATCATTTTATATTGAGTATTATGTCGGATTAGTGACATCAGTGCTATCATTAAACTCAAATTAAAAACACTGGAGCAAACACAAAAACAAAGTACTGAAGCTCGAAAAACAAAGTGAGGACCTAAGTGAGATGAGTCTCTCGTCTTGTGACTTTCTCGTCGAATGTGAGAGATATATAGAGAGAATTTTCTCGATATTCATCCGCATCCACTATTTCCCTGTCATTACCCACGTGTTTTTGTCTATGAAAATTAATATAAATTAGATGAAATGTGTAACGAATACATGAATTTTACTTTCTTACATTTTTATAAGGTAAAATTCATTTTATTATCATATAAATGAACTATTTATCAACAAAAAATGACGCATTGGTCATGAAGATATTGCGCAATGTATCGTAAGATCCGTCACGCCCAATAAGCAGTCGTCGAAATGAAGATTATGCTGGAATGTCGAATAAGGTAAACTGATATGGTTTTGCTGCAATTTGGTTATAGAAAATGTGTTACTGTTTTTGCATTTATTTGTTAATTCAAGATATAAATTGCCTTCTTTCAGGGGAAAAGAAATTTACATCTTTTAGGTTCGTGGTATGTTTTGTTAAAGTTACGCCAAATTCATAAATGTTGAATTTGCTGATACTTGACCACGCAAACAGTCGGAGAAATGGCATTGTCGCCCTACCTTGCAAACACAAAGAGAAACGCGTATAGGTCACTCCAACAAAACGTTCTTTATGCGTTTCCAACGATGGTCAACAAAAATTCGTAGTAGACACCTGGAAACCTTGATCTGAGCGAGTATTGGCGTTCAGAAGGCTTAAATATATTCGTGGCCGAATTACGCTCATAAAATGTCCAAGAACAGAATAAAATTGCCAAGGAACCGCTCTTACGCCAAAATTCTAAATGGGGAGGTTTGACGCATCCAAATGCTTCCCTCATAAATCACGAGAATGATCCCTATACCCTTTCCTCGAAGTTTGTAATTGGGGTTAACAGGAGAAGAAACATTTAAACGCGGTCTAAACTCCTTCAAAACGTTTGCCTTGAGATTTCAGATTGATAAACGCATATTATAAGGAATTTTTTCCTAAATAACAACAATCATCTCAACAGCAACAAGACGAAACAACAATTATAGGCAGAAATTTAACAGGGGATCCACTTGTTTGACAAAAAGAGTTTCGCCAATGCTCAAAACCGCTATTGTGCACCCGATTTAAAATGTTAAAAATTAATTTGAATCCATGTGTGCTTAATCACGTATTTCTTTCTTACATTTCGCTTGTTTTCAATGTTTACACGTCTCCTGTGGTCGAAGTGTATAACCGTAAATAAATACTAATAACGCATTATGTTATGTAAGCTTATTTTCAACTATATAACCTCATAGAAAAATACTTTGATTTAATTTCGTTTGCCGGAATTATTGAAGCTAATGAGATGATGCGATGTCGGATATTTATCAACATTTCATACAAAAAAATAACGATTAGAAACCATGATTTATATAAGTTCTTTTATCGCAAACATTTGCACAATTCAATTGGGCAAGAGATGACTTCGAACAAGAAATATTGAATCCATTATATTTACTCTGGTGTGTATCCAGCGGCGGTAAACTACGAAGATAACCACGATTTTAAAAAGCCGTTTTTCGTGGTTATGCGAGCGCACTCGCTCATTAGCGGTTTAAACCTTACTTTAGATTCTGCTCGCGTTTCCAGTCCTGATTGTCTAAGGGTGGTCCGACAAACCCTGGCACCCTCCTAAACAAATTTTGTGGCACTTCGATATGACAACCTTGGACCACCCTGGTCTAATTTTGTTGCGTTGGTGGTATTGTTTTTAGCGCGGTCGCCGCAGGTTTTGTTATACAAACAAGATAATAGCTGATAGGGCTATTATTGTCGGACAAACAGTGTCAAAGAAAAATTCAAAAATTGTCATGACACTCGAATGGCTTTGATTTTCATCACTACATAGGTACCCAGTTCCTTATCCTCATATGAAGTAACCAATTTCTTTTCTGAAACGTTTTTAATTGAGTTGTCAGACTTCCTCGCAAGCCTCACAGCGTTTAACTAACGTCATGAAGCCAATAAAATGCTTTAATTAGATGTTTTCAAACATTATACTCGACCGAATTGACAGTCTTTAATTGGAAAATAAAATAGCATACCTCACGGAAAACTCAACGAAAATATTATTTAGTTGTATATATATTGAATCAGATCTATTTCCTAGTTAGATGTTTTATTTTTCCCCAATTGAAAAGAAAAAAGGCCTAAGACAGATACCTGAAAACAGAAGTCCCATCAATGAGACTATGACTACCGAATAAGTAGACAGCAAAAACACACAACATAAGCATATAAACTTTCAATTATATTTCACAAAGCAACAAGTGTTATAAATTTACTCTTAAATAATTTTGAAAATACCAACACAACTTCAGTCATAGAGTTGCATATTTGGTGGCCAGTGTCCGAGTCAAATATGTGTAGTTGTGCAAGGGAATATTCAGCATGACATATTGTTAAGTTTTTCAGTGGTATTATAGCCTGATATGTCATTTCAAACTGCACAACGCAGGAGTAAGAATTGTAACCAGTTTTAGAGTACTGAAGAATTAACAAGTGGAGCAAAATTATGGATTGATCGATGTTTGAAAAGATTCTTATGGCCACCACATGCATATAAGAAATAAAGACAAACCAAAAAACACACAAGCCACCCGCTCTGTGGCGCTCTGTTTTTACAGCTCATTGAAAATTAGGTCTTCGATGTATTCAGATTGCACTGAAATTCTATAAAACAGCAGCGAGTATAAATATATTTAGCAATACAGCTTGCTCTGCTATTCCAAATTCATGGCAGTAATGTAGTCTAAAATTCAGGTTTTCATTTCAATTATTTTACATGCCAAATTTTTCAAATCCCATAATAGATAATATTACATGTTTAATAAATAGTACATAGAAATTCAAAGTCTAGATATTTTTAAATATTGGTCTGTTCAGTTCGGCATCCATAATGGAAACGAAGATTCCAAGTTTTTCCAATGATTTTGACAGAAAATCCAACATGGATGAAAATACTTGATAAGCGTTACAATTCATGCTTTTCCTTGTACCTTTTTCTCGCCATCTCATACATTTCAGCTTTCCTTTTTTCTAGCAATGACTGTGGTGATGGCTGTTTCACTTTTGGTTGTTTCTTTGGCTTCGGTTTAATAGGTGAAAATTTAACAATACCTTCAAATATATTTGTCAATGTAACATCAATAGAATTAGTTTTGGCTAAATCATTCAAAATGACATTTCGTGGAACATGCGGTACAATTTCTTGCACTTTACTGGCCATATGGAGAAGTTTTTGACTCGCATTGGATATTGCCCTTTTTTGAGCTTCTCTTTGTCGCCTCAAGTTTTCAAAATATTTATTTTTGTCCTGACAAGAGATTGTTAAAACTGGAACCCTCAACATGTTTGATATTTGTGTCATTGCTGAATTTAAAAAATCATTTTCACTCATATTGTCATCTCTTTTAACGACTGTTTCTGACAGTTGAATTGTATATGAGGTTAGAGGTGTAAAAAGCATCCAAAACATATCACCAATCAAAGTACTATGTGCAGTGGCAGTTGAAATTGGCAGGATTCTATATGTTGAGATTGCACCAACTTGAACACAGTTTGTTCTTTTGAAGTAAGAAGTTTCAAACTTTAATATTCCAGCACCAGTAGTTGGACAACCTTCTGGGAAAATGACAATCGGTAATGTCTTACCCGCAACAATATTTTTAAAATTTTCCAATCGCAGTATTTTTCGCATAAATGGCCACAAGTTCCACTTGTTCTCACTTACAACATTAAGTGCATGGCTGAATATAAATCCATCAATGTTTGACTTTTGATTTGATATTAAAACGTTTGCACATATTGCTCCATTCACGCTAACTTTAACACCGAGTATAACCATATATATCCAACTTATATTCTTGAATACAGGATTGTTTTCTTTCATAATTAATTTCAATAACTGCCTTGCGATAACAAAGTTCAATAGCAGGCATATTCTCAGAAGGAAGAGCAATATTCCAATGGGAAGATATGCAAAAACAAGTACACTTGACTGAATGTTCGGAATCCGATCAGTCAAAAACATTTTTTGAATTTCTCTATCCATTTTTCTCTTCTTAATTATATATGGAAGTTGCAAAACTATTAATTACAATAAATTCAAGAATATAATCTGAAAATATAAATTTCAACGCAATTAAAGGCAGTAAATAAAATGAAAAAATACGAAATACAGCCTTGTCTGCTTGTATGGATCCCCCGCATTATAAAGTCTACCCATCTGTCCTACAGCAATACTTCACACAAAAAATAGAGATATTCCAAGTGTACCACTGTATCCTTTCCAAATTTTATAAACACACATAAGACAAAGGGACAGGGCAAAAAGTCCGGAAAATTGACAAGTTTCAAAAGAGATTTAAACATCTAAGTAGGCCTACTACAGGTCTTTGATTCATTTTGATCTCAAATAAAAGCACGGAGCTGCGATATACCTACAGAACACAATGCTTTAAATTAATATCTAAAAGTTCGCCAAACCATAAATCCCTAATCATACCGGTACCGTACTGTATTGAGCTCTTTTGCGTAAAGGGCACCGTAGTAGCTCTGGCCTCTGAACAACGTTATGCTATTTGAAGTCTTCTGACTATAAATTTTCATATACAACTACATGCTAGGCAGGAATGCCAGTTACGGCTACAGCCAACAGCTTGCAGTCTCGCTTCTTAGCGCTGTCACGCGACTACACGACCTAAAATTTCTATGCATGGAAAACTTTATAAAACTGACGACCGATTAATTTTCTTGACACTGTATAATATGTTACCACATCATAACTGTAACCCGAAAGTTCTAAAACAGGCGGAGACTCGAAGCGTGACCAACACAGCCAAACTGTCTTTTTACTATTATGTACATATACTTTCTTGGGTCAGTGATTTTACTAATGAATTTACTTTAGTTTGAATTTTATTTGTTATCGAATTTAGTACTTGAAATTACGCTGTCCGCCACAGAGTTTCCACCTTCTTGAAATTCGTTCAGACTGTTCTATTTAACATTGCTCTATTCTTCTTTATGTTTCATCACTTTAAATTTGCTGTTATGTTGTATGCAAAAATTTTGTATAATAAATCATTAAGAGAGAAGCGTCACATGATAGCAAAGTGGTTAAAGACTCCAGTAACCACTGGGGAGCCACAGCATACTCCATGCGTAACAGTAACTAGACCTGGTTCACTAAGTGACAGATATATAAATCTATCTTTTGTCGCCAGTATTTCCATTTTGTTGGTGATGCGACAGAAACGTTAGAATGAATTTATTTGTATTGATTCTATCCTACTGTTCAGCTAAAAATTCCCCTTAAAATCTTGATCAAATCACAAAATTGCAAAATACAAAACTAGTTAATACGATGTTCAGCAAATGGTATCAAACAAGTAGAGACCACAGATAATATTGAGAATATTCTTGTCGGAACTTAAACACTAACAAATGCTATAGGCCGAGAAGAAAAGACCAGAAATTCAAAGAACCAATGGCAAATCTAATCAAAGTTTTGACATGTACGGACTCGGAAAAGGAACATATTTTGGCAGCATGATAAGAACAACTTATTAAAAGAAGAAACACAGACTAGAAATGATTAGCTATGTGGAGAGAAAGATAAGCAGACCCTTTTAGCAAAGATAGACACAAGTTACCATAAGTATATTACCACTTAGTTACTTTGAGAGTGCGTGACAGTTATTTTAACATGTTGGTATGAGCAGTCTATTATGGCAGTCAAGTTCGTAACTATTATACAAAACACAAAAATATTTACAAAAGCGAAACTCTGAGGTACAAAAAATTTCCTAGTGTTGAAAAATACAAGCACAGAATTTCACTCTCGCTAATGTAGCAAACACCAACATCTTCAGCATTGATTGGCTGAAACTTATTTTTATTTTCGCTTCTTGTGTGATTTTCGACTTCCACTATGATCCCTCTTTCTTTTTTTCGAAGAACTTGTGACTACCTCCTCTTCATACTGTCCTCGATCAGCTGTGACAAAAGCATGATGCATTTATGTTATCATTATGAACCAGAAAATATCAATATTGTATCAAACCAGATGCCCTGTATGGCAGAATACCTTGGTCGGTGACCGTACATTTGAACCTATGCGTATATCCACGGGTTCAATCTATATGCGGGTGCTAAAACCCATGGGTTAGGGTTAGTATGGGTTTAACTATCCGTGAAACAAAAAAAATTCCATAGGTGCAATAGCATACAGGTGCAATTGTCATGGGTTCAAATGTAATGGAACCACCTTGGTCTTAAGAAGGTGATCATCCTTTTTTAGTTTGAGGTTTAAAATTTCGTAGTTATAATTGAAACAAGAAAGCGATGCCTCAATAGATGGACACAAAGGCCAAAAGAAAGTAGTACGGTTATGCAGTCTGTCACAGTAGACTACAGGTACCACAGTGTTCATGAGCCTCGCCTGACCACTAGACAAAACAGAAGACAACAGTCACGATGTCATAAAAAACATAACCCCATCAAAAAATAAATGAAACGGCAAAATTTTAAATGAAATATCAGATCTCATGGGAAATTTAAGCACAAAAGTAATAGCCTTCTAGCGACAACAACCATCTTTAATCACTAAAACACTCTAAATTTCAAAGCAATTGGTCCAGTAATTGAAGCGAAAAATCACAAAAAGATAAAGAAAAATACTAACAACAACCTAATAACAAAACGATTCCTAAATACACTTCGTGTCCAATAAGATTACTGCAATGCAAAAAATATTCAAATGGTGCATATGTTTTTTTACTATCAGATGTTGTTCACCCTAAATCACATTTTCCAAATAAAGTATTCCACAATTTATTCCAATGTCAAATTAACCCCACACAATATCTATAAGATAGTAGAACAAAAATACAGCATCCATGATTAAGTTCTTACCCCGTTTTGCTTCCTCTTCTAATTCATCCCAGTCTTTCCCGCTTTCTTCTCCACTTCCTAAAGATTCTTCATCAAAGGATGATTCTGCCTCACTTGAATAATCTTCATCACTATCTTCATCTGTCTCGGATCCTTCTGCTTCAGAACCATCCTCTGGAACAAACTCTTCTTCTTCTTCAGAATCATCTCCAGCATCCTCCTGGTTTGAAACAAAGAATTTTAAGGTTTAAATACTCTGCCTTAAATTCTTCTATCATCAACTCTATGGATTTGCAAACATTAATGATTTATCCCAGAGTTTATCCAACCCGACCCTTCCATGAGGGCCACAAAGCGAATATTGGGGGTGATTTTTACTAGGTGCCATAGGACCAAGGTTTTATACTCTAAATACTCTCATTTGAAATCTTCTTTCATCCAAGTCAATGTATCTGCAGCCATTATTGAGTCAGCTTGAGTTTTTTTTTAAACTGGGCTTCTTCCTCCGAAGGGCCACAGAGGAGGTTACTCGGGGCCATGAGTGAAGAACGTCACTAGGCGCTAAATGAAATTTGTTCAATTCTTTGACCGTTATGTATAAATTCTCATACTGCTGTTCATTGGCTTTTTTATTATTAAACATGGCGACGAAAATCCGGTAAAAACAAAACTATTTTTTTAAGGGGCCACAATGTGTTGAGAGATCATGAAGCATAAAAGTATAATAACCACTAGATATCTACCATATCCCTCTTCCGAAATATAAAAAATATGTTACGCCAGGCGGCGATTTGCTAAGAGCGCCCCGAAAATTTCCAGAATTGTGCTAAACATAACTTGAACATTGAATATATTGCATTTATTATAAATGTTTTATGGTTTCTTACTTTAAATGTGTATATGAATCAATAAATTAAATTTACCTTTTTATGTCGTTTACTCACTGTTACGACCACAAAGTAAAATTTTATTTAAAGGCAGCAATTTTTTTTCATGTAAGTGCGCCGCACGAACGACAAGTTTGGGAACCGCTGTGTTAAGCAATGGATTGTCGTAGAATCAACTTACATCGCTCTCAGGTTCAAGGAAGCTCCATCCACCCTGATCAAAGAAAGCTTCGGGATCATCAACAATTGTCTTCAATATTTTTGCCCAGTTCAAAGACTGTACTCCGTCAGTGTAACGAATGTCACATGAGCTAGCAAAAATGAAAAGTTTGATCAGACAAAACAATTCCAATCTTCCTAGGCACAATAATGTTCTTCGCCTACACGACAGAGTCTATTCATGACAAAAACAGTAATACATTACAACTATAATTGCAAAAGACTACAACCTAACTTGTAATGTATAACACAGCATATAGACTTGAACCAATTTATTTTGAAACTAAGACTCTGATACATTATTTTGCTAAAAATTCTGCGTTTTCATTTCATCACTCACTATTCGTTGCGAATGTTTCAAATAAAGATCTGGCTAATCTAATCATGTGACACGAAATCTCATTTTCAATTAGATTACGAGAGCAAAGCATAAGAACAGAGTTCACATCCTGCTTTGAATGTGATAAAGGTGTTTCTATACCTAATGTACACAGACTCAACTATGATAAATAATTTTCTAATCCAAATACATATTTTGTGCTACTGTTGCATAATAACTAAACTACGAGTTATTTGACGAGTGAGTTTTATTTAAGGGGGATGAGGAAAGATATGGACTCGAATCGATTCGGAGAGTGGTTTTCAAAGGTGGGACACGTCACGGCGGGCGTAGACAATTTTCTGAGAGGGCGTGGAGCTAATTAAAAATAAAAATATTTGTTAGTTTTGATCTTGCTCGCCTTATTTTGGATATTTACATTTCAAAACTTTTCATTTGTTTCATTATTTACGTTCCATCCTTGTATTTTCAATGTGTTTTTTGAATAAAATATACTTTCACCTTACTATCCGTTATTTGTAGCTTATTGTTAGCCAGTTTTTTTGAGGTGGGGCACAAAACTTGACAAATTATAAAAAGGGGCCGCAGGACTTTGAGATCCACTGGTCTGGAAGTACGGTCGAGTACAGATAAAAGTATCTGCAAACTCGGAGATATTTCTAAAGCCTAAATCGTGTTCTTTCAGATTGGTATGTAAGAATTCGCAACATCGCTAACATTTATTTACAACTTACTTTAGCCATTCTCTGATTGGATCAAGCGATTGCATTGGTATGGAATTGATGACTTCTACTTTTCTTTTATAATCTTTAAAAACGATGACCATGTCAAAGTTCTTCAAATGGAATTGCACTCTCTCAAAATGAACAAGTTCAATGTCGTCCAAACTCACAACAAAGGAAGGCTGTAAAATAACAAAAATTTTTGTTTCACACTCGTCTGAATATCTTATTAGAAATTAAATACTCCAATAGTGTGTTTACCAGGTTAGGGTTAGGGCATAATTTTATTCGGATTTTCCTTTTTTTATTTATATTACTAGTTCGGGGACTGTCTGAGCCAAGTGAATATACCCCCTGCTCATAGGCTTCAGTTCCTTTACACAACTTGCTGTAAAGTAGGCGAACAAACTTAGTTACCTACATATTGGTACACACACTTCTGGAGCGCCCAAATTCATATACATAATGTATATATATAATTTATATTCAGTTTTCGTCAAAATTCGCCAAGTCCAATGGATTTGTATTTAAATAAATTCCTTTACACCATCTTACCCAGAATATTATAAATCGTTTATCTCTGACTACGGGTTTAGAGAAAATTTCACTCTAATTTAGAGTTATAAAAAAAATTTGACTAAGCTATGCTCCGAACTCCCAAGAAATCAAATTTTAACAAGAGAGCTACGCCCAAATATATGGACACGTCTGTTCGCAGTACCGTATGGTTTACCGTACCGTCAGATCACAGTCTACAAATATATTCACACCGAGCGAAGCAGTGCAGTAGGACACAAAATGGCCTCCGATGTCCACACAACGTTCGGTGACGTCATAGCAAACAAAAACAAATCAAAGAACAACAAAACGATCGTTGTGTCCACTCAACGTGTCCAATAATAAAAACTCAGGGGTATACAAGATTTCTCAAATGGTCTATTAAGAGCACGTAGTAGAACTTAATGCTTTCTGAGGAGTTCATCCAGCTTGAGTTTAAATGTAAACAATGTTTTGATGTCAAATACCCTACAAAACACAAAAATATATTCACTTACCCATTCAACACAATTGATTAGTGCAGTAGAAGTAGGTTGAACCATACATGTACTTCGGAAAGGAACTCCGAAGAATGACAATTCTCTGAATGGAGAATCAAACTCGACTTCACCACGTGAGATTGTCTCAACTTTGTCGATGAAACTCTTGAATCCTGTGTTAAGTTTGTGCCTGAGCTCTCTTTCAGCCTAAAATAATAACAATCTGTTACAAATTTTGAGAGGAAAAATATGTACCTCATGTACTTCACAATTACCAAGGTTTTTAATCTGAGCAAGATACTACACAATATGCCAATTCGATATAGAAAGATATACTGTATTAAAAATTATTATTAAATTAAGTTAATGGCATGATTGCAAGATCTCTTACTAGGTTTGTCAGCATGATTGATAATCAAATATTCCCAAAGGAACACTATTATTTTCAAGTAATATTCAGTCGATACTGACCTGTTCAGCATATAGATCGTCTCTGTCTCTCATGTGTTGTAGTTTTCCAAGATCCGTTGTTATTTCTCCAACCTCGGTGTAAAACTGAACGTCGGAATGTCTTTTCTTGCCAAACATGATTGCGTTCTATTGAAATGTACATAAGATTAATAGAATGAAATCATGACTGATAATGCTTGTAAGGTGTTATGCTTCATTTGTGTGAAGACAATGTTCCTTCCCATTTTCAATTAATTGGGAAAGTCTAAATCGGGGCTGTGCAGTTTTAGTTGATAAAATTTTCGACTATGCCCCTGGCTACAGGTTGACATAAATTTCAACTCCAAACTCTGCAGGAAATAAAAATTTGAGGATGCAAGCCTTCTTTAATAAACTGTTAGGAAAGCCTAATAATTTAGAGTACCGGTAATTTATTTCGAGTTTCTTTAGAAAATTTTGACTCAATTATCACTACGAAAAGTTTGGAATTCCGATTCTGGGGTATTCAAAATTTTGACTTAGACTCCAGAGAATTTGAAAATACAACCAAGCCCCAGATAAAAACATGCCAAACTCGTACTCCAAAGCCCCGGTCAAATAATCCAGTTTTGCTCCAAATTCCAAATTTTGGTCTGGATAAAATTTGGGAGACAGCATTAAAAAATTGTCAAACCTTCAGATGAAAATGCAGCACGATAATCATCTCACGATCACAAGGTTGAAATATTGCATGCTTTATATTATTGTACAAAATGTCAACTTTGTCTCCACGCACAGAGGTGTATCGGAAACCTGAAAACAGGAAATTAAATGATTCAATTTTGTACTGGCAGTGTTTCTTCATGATATTGCAACATTGATATTGATATCCAATTCAAGAGTCAAACACAAATATATTTTTGTAATGTTTCGTCAGACTTCCTCAGACAAGCAGTTTACAACAATGGCAAGAAATGAACAATCATCAGAGGAAAGATAGGAAGTTAGTCTCGCGCAAACCCATCTTAAAGTTACATTGATATTGTACTTATTCGAAAGACATATGGGCAATCATCTTCCTCGCCCATTAAAAATATATTTGAATTTATGAGTCGCTAATATGTGGACACGAAGGTCAAATTTCAAAACAGTGTTCCCTTAAATTAAAATATAAACGATACATTTGGGGCGAAATTCGGAGACAGAAAGGTTGAAAATTGCCGTTCATTCAAGCAACTTCTCCCATTTTCGAGTACCAAGATAGAAATACTTTAGTCACATAATGGTTTGCTTGAAAATAGTCCCGTTCAGAAAGATAACATAAAATCACCACTCGTAATAATAATGTTAACACTGATACTAAATTAATTGCAGTGATTCTGCTACATATATGAATCATTGGTTACTTACCATTAGTGTGTGCTTCCAGGTGGCCTTGCATTCTTCTGTGAGCAATGTTAGGTCGAATGTACAAGTCTTTTAATTTTGGATTGTTCTTGTTTGGATTAATAACGAGTTTGTCTTGCTTGACGATGCCCTGGATAAAGAAAAGGTTCTCTGGTTCATAATTGACCAACACTACATTGGTCAAGATTGGAAAGGGCTATGGGACAGTCGATAACTAAAATAAGTCTCACTAGTAGTTAGCTCAGAGGCGGGTAAGGTTTTTGAACCGAGGGCCATAAATTTTGCCTATTCTAGACTGGCAGGCTATGTATATGTGACATAAAAGTTGCCTTTTATAAACAATATTCACAGTGTTACAAAAGCAAAAGTAGAAAACAATAAACCGTGTGCCGAAGCCCGAAACTAAAACGATAATATCGGTCAGAGACCGAAGACTTATCGATCGAAAGTTAGGGGATCCCCCAGAAACTGCGGTTTCGATTCGAAAATATCTGCAAACCCGAACTCAAAAATGTAGGAAACAATAGCCAACTCCCCATGTCGTCGTCGAAATACTACTCGAGGAAATACTTTTATGAAGAATTCTGCAAATCCGAACTAGATTGTTTCGATTAGTCTCCAGCCAATAGCCTATTTACCAATCCTATATTTTGTGTCAAATACAACGGCGCTAACCCGGGTTGCGACGGCTATTCAAACACAGCCTAGCGATATTTTGGTGAGGAATTCTGCAACCCCGAACCTGATAAAGGGATATGGACATTGCTTACTATAAAGAGTAATTATAAGTAACGAGATACGATCTCGCGGCGTGTATCCTTCGCTCTGACACAATAGCGTGGAAAATTTCTCGAAGGAAACTTGCGTATCGCAACGACGTCAAAGTTACAAAAGAGATATGGACAATGCTTAAAGATTAATCACGAGATACGATCTAGCGGTGTGTATCCTTCACTAGCGTGAAAACTTGCGCATCGGACACGCACGCTCACATTCAGCGTGTCTCGAAAATCTCTCACTTTGTAAACATCCAGATCTCTTCATCACTAATTAATTAATAACTCGCTAATTATACGACATAATTCATCCAAAATCAATAGGCTTCTGGTCCGGGATATGATGAATGCACATGTAGCAGATTCAACCACGCCTTCGTGAGATATCGCGTGCATCTAACACACAAACAGACAGACAGACAAATACCTATCAACATACTTACCGATTAAAATCGATGGGTAATAATGATTTAATATTTAATGATTCAGATGATTTAACTTTCTATGAATAAAATAAAAATAATAAAAATCACACCTCTCTTTCTTTCTCTTCCGCTTCCCTTGTTTTAAATTTCTTCTGAACGTCTTTAATTTGTCGGAATGCCAGTTGTAGATTAGCAGCAGGTGGTTCAGCCTTACCTGGAACTTTTCCAGCAAGAGCTCGATATGTTCTGAATGATAAGAATAGCATAATATTCTCCAATACAACAAATCCATAGAAATTAGGTCCCTTCAGAAGTGTGTGTAATGTGTACCAATGTGGAGGTAAATAATTTTATTCGCCTACTTTACATCAAGTGAAAAAGGACTGAAACCTATGGGCAGGGGGTATATTCACTCGGATTACACAGACAGTCTCCGAACTCGTAATAGAACTAAAATAAGGAAAATCGGAATAAAATTATGCCCTAACCCTAACCTCGTACACACACTACAAGAGCCCCGAAATTTGTATTCTAGAACTGACGTTGAATTAGGAGAAATAACATCAAATCGGGCAATATCAACAATAGCTAAGACAAGGACAAGGCTTAGATATTTGCCTAGTGGAGAGGAGAGTGAATAAGATAGCTTAAATAGCTCCTTCACTCAGTGAATAACAGGGCTGTTGAAGTCAGACTTTGAAATGTTTCCATTGGGGTCGTAGTTGTATTAATAAGCCTATTATACTCTCCGCAGTCATGAGTCGTAGTCGAGATTTTGAATTCCCCTAGTACTCAGACTTCCAATGGTGATTATTGAAATCAAAATTTGGACCTCCTGAAGTATGCACACCAAGATGGAGGACAACCTGAACTCAGGTTGTGTACCAGGTTAGGGTTCAGGTTATGCGACATCTTGGTGCGCATACTTCAGAAGTACCCAAAATTTTCTATATAAACTCAAAAAAGTGTTCCTAACAGTCTATCAAAATGCTTTGTGAAATTCAAAATTTTTATTATAAAAATTTAATTTCCTTGGGAGTTCAGAGCTTGAGTGAAAATTTCCAACCCAGGGTTTAATGCTCTTCAAATTAGAGTTGATGTTAGATTAGACGTCAGTTATGAATTGATTATACTATTGGTACTTTTCATAATACGGTAACGAGTCTTCCCTGGATGTTAGAACTATTAAAAATGTACTTACAATTCTTTAACAAATGTAGAGTCATTATTTGCATAAGCCTGATTGTCGACTCGTCCAATCCCACTGAAAAATACCAAAATGTATTTGATAAAATTTAAACGGGTTATAATACATATATATCATATTGAATATTCCAAAATTTCTAAAATGTGTTACAGCAGTTAAAATGTAAAATTTGAAAATGCAGGCAATAAACTTGATATTTCTAATATGTCATGAATACCATAAGGTTTGTAAGGGTCTCCAGGCCAAACATAAATGAATGTTGCCTCGAGTATCCACTCTATTTATTTTCATGCATTAGTTAATTAGCAAGAAGTCAAAGTTGGTGTGATAATTGATGACGCATTTTTACTAGACAGATTTCTAGGCCTGGTTGTTCACTTTAGCTCCTTTTCATGGCTATTTATCGATTTTTACTGTAATCATAATGTGTGGCACAAAGTGTTGTGCAGAAGTTCCAAAGCACAAGTGCGTAGTCAAGTAACATGACATACGAATCATTTGATTTAGATGATTTAAAATCATTTCAGAGTGCTCGATATATGTGACTCGAGTCTAACTCAGGTTCACCCCACCTATGAGGCTTATGTGATAAAGATTTACACATAATTAGAATTAGTTTCAATGCAATCACTACAAATTAATATTGAAAAATTAAAAATTAAAAAAACTAACCTTCCTGGGCAGAAAAAGTTGATTCTCAGGTATGAATAATCACCTTCTGTGCTCATACTGATATTCTGCCAAGAAATAAAAAATTTTGTGAAAAGAGATTCTAAATATTATGAAAAAAACTAACAAATCATCGTACTATTTACTCATACCTTTACAGTAGAAATGTGATATGGCGTAGGGAGACCAAAAATAGGCAGTACTACGGTCTCATATTTTTTATCGATGAAGATTTTCAAATCATGAATGTCTGGTTCTTTGAAAGGCAACAAGGAAGAAGACTTGTAAGAGACATTGGATTTTTTAGACCTGAAAACAAAAAAAGTTTAAAATATAACATAAATGGAAGAAAAAGACAAAATACAGGATAGTAATGCTCATATAAATGGATGCTAATGTCAGAGATTATATTCAAAATGTTCCAATGAAATAAAGTCATAAAATTTCAGGTGAAAAATAGGTTTTCATAGAAAATTGAAGAAAAGAAAAGTAATAGCCTTCTAACAAACTCTTCTTTCTCCAATAAGTGTTGGAAGTTTGTTGTAACAATCGTTACAACTTACATTAGTTGCAATGAATAGCGAGAGTATCCACTACCAGGAGTAGAACATAAATGCAGCTGAAAAAATTGTAAAAGTTACACAAAGCAAATGAGAGATCCACTTTTATGGAATTATCATTTTCTCCTGGGGTCAGAATTTTAAGACAAAAGTCAGACAAAAAACGACTTTCAAACACCCACTCCAGTTTTGTCCGTGGATTCGAAGTTATGAAATCAGAAGCAGAGTCAATTTAACATATACCGTGAGGATTGTACGTCTTCCTTGTTGTCCATCATTCTCTTCTTTGCTTCGTTATTCAACTGATTCGATAATTCTTTCTGATGAGATCGACGTTTCTCTTCCAGAGTTTGTTCTTGCTGGAAAAAGTTAAGGTCGCGGTATGTTTAGATGAAAATTTAACAATAATTGCCGATCGAGTGTGATTATTAGATGTTTATCCGAGACGAGAAGAACTTAAATCTGGGTCTTCCAAACTGGGGTCCACAGTGATGACTGCACCAGGGGTCGTGACGATATGAAATGAATCTGGTCGATATTAAATGATTGATTTCAATGTGTCATTTTGATTGAGCGCTGCGGACGAATTGCGAATCAATTGCTGTCAGAAATGGCAATTAAAACTTCATTGCCTTTTGCGACAACCTACATGCAGACATGTGTGAGGCAGCATTTTCAGCTTTCACCAATATGATGACAAAGTATTGTACAGGTTGAGAATTGGGAGTCCGTCAAAAATAAGATTAACAAAAAAAGGAGTCCGCAGCCAAAAAGTTTGGGAAACTCTGATTTAGATGACCTTACTGTGTAATTAGCTCATGGTTGCTTGAACAATACCTTCATTCCAAAAAAATTAGTATAAAAAAGTTTTTTATATGCCTGTCACTTCAAACATGGATCTGTTCATGCAGTCATTCTTAGGTGGAAAGGCCGAAACTTTTCTGGCTTGACATTGCCTGTCTGAGATGCCAACGGATGCCCCAGGCTAGTGGTTCCTACACTTTTTAATATCGCTTCCCCTAAATCGAATTACCAAAATCCCAATTATTCGTTTAATAAAAATACATAGTCAGTTAGTACAGTTCTTTGACCAAAAATTATGATAATACTAACACCTATTGCATTCTTCGATCAGACTTTAAGATGCTAAACTTGCGGATAGCAATCCGTATGGTGAAGTATTACAATATTGTCCCTACAAATCGTGTGACTTGGGCTGATTGACTAAATGCGAGCATTGAATGTTCAGGTTTTCCGCAGTCTAGTCAAAAGTATGGGGATTTCTAGTTCTAGTTTCCAAAAAGTCGCAACCCCATACTTTTTTTTTCGATAAGTTTACAATTACCCTTGTTTTCTCCTTCAGAACTGCGTTCCTTGCTCCTCTCCCCAACAACTCAGCAGGTTGTTGTTCTTCTTCGCTTTCTTCCTCGCTTTCATCCTAAAACAGATAACGTTTGAATTTAGTTCGTTGTTAGGTGGGAAAGAAGGATAGGGGAACATAGATATACAGAATTAGGAAAAAATAACAATTAATACAACAAAAATAAAGTGTCAATATCTTTAACAAATATCAACTATTCAGAAGATTTCAAGAATTGATAATAGAATTACATCGATTCCAGCCAAAATATTTTCACATTTAATCGTTAGGCGAAAGCCGGATATGCAAGACGTTTTGTATGTGATACTTATTGGGTGAATTTTATTATTGCTATGAAAAGCATATCAATTTAGGAATAATGAAAACGACCAGTCAGTCATCCAACGTTTCCCAACAAAGGAAGAATTCCTCCCCAGAGAGTAATTTTACTGTTTGAGAAAAAAATAAATTTTAATTTGTATTTGGTGTAGTATCACTAATTATGAGTAATTTAGTGCCATTGTAATACATATTTAGGCACACAATAAAAAATATTCAAAGGCTTGAGTGCAAATTGCTCATACCACCATGCATACTGAGGAAGAATTAAGCATTTCATAGGCTATATATCGAAAATGGGTTGGAAACCAATGTGACTGCAGTGATCATACAGTCATTTATATTTTGACAGGAATTTCTGACTCACTTTCAAAAAAATCGAGATATTTTTCGCTCTCTTTTTATCTTTCGTTAAATTAGTAGCAGGAGCACCATCATTGACAACAACGGTATCTCCGATGAAGAGAGCATATTTTTTTTCAGAATCTTCTTTTGCTTCGTCATTCACCAAATTCGAAATTCCAATGTTTATATTGAAGACCATTCCTGTGAAAGAGGATATTTTGAATAATAACTGGGTAATTTATTGACACCTCATCACATTTTTAAAATAGATATTACCTGTTTCAGACTAACTAAATTCGGTGAAAAAAAAATGATAGAAAATTATATGAGAATGAATATTAAATCTAAATATCAAACAAAATCCTTTATGAATGGACAATTCTACAATCAAAATAATTGCTATTTTTCGGACCAAATAAATGACTTGAAGTGCTCAGAGTTTCGATGCTACCAGCAATAAATGTTTAATGTAGAGTTACTCGGAGATTAGTCTGCTTTACCTCTAAGTGAGTGCACATGGCCTAGTTTCAGTAGTTCTTTCATTAGTCACCTGCAAGGCCGTAACTAAGGTCGAATATAAGCTTCTAATACTTCTGCGTCAATGTTCATGATCTTGTTTTGAGAAAATTCCTCCCAAAATACATACATAAAGTCAATCATACTATCAAAAGCTTGCCTTCTCATATATCAGCACGAATTCAAAATCGCGAACGGCTAAATAACAAGATACATCGTAACTAAGAGGAATTATAATTTACCTTTCCTAGCCTTGATTTGATTTTTCCCATTGATCACATAAGTACTTTCTCTGAATTCAATTCCACAACAAAATCCAAAACTTCTGGTGAAAGAATTCACAAGTTCTGGTTTCTCAGATTTTGTACGTTTTATCACCTCATTATAAACATCACACAAAGGAGTACCTGAGTAAATAAAAAACGAAGATATGGGCGCTCCCGTAGTATGTGAGCCAAGATGTTCGACACCTGAACATAGTATGGGTACCAGGTTAGGGTTAGGCCATAATTTTATTCCAATTTTCCTTTTTTTAGTTCTATTACGAGTTCGGGGACTGGCCAAGTGACTCTCGTAGTATTTGTACCTGAAATTATGGCCTAACCTGGTACACATACTGGTTCTGGTGTCCGCCATCTTGGTTCACATACTACGGGAGTACCAATATAACTATATATAAATTATATCAGTACTTGAACAGTACCTCAATATTTGAGAATTTTATCAATTAAAACCAAATTAGATAAATTACCTTGTTTTTCAGAGTACCTAACCTCAAATTTTTAAGAGTTGGTTTATTAATAAAAAAAATTTCAAAATGAAACAAAAAAATAGTGGTATCAAAACCGAATCAAGAATTACACCAAATCCCAACCTCGTAATAGAACTAGAATAAGGAAATTAAGAATTATGGCCTAACCTGGTACACATACTACGTGAATACCCAGATTTCAGCTCCAACTCACCATGCTGCAATTTTTCAAAAATAACTTCTTCCATATTGAGTAGAAAAGTATAAATTTCTTGCATTTTTTCCGTCGGATTGACCATCAATGTCCGAACAACATTGGAACAATAGGAACGATATCGGACTCCGAGCATACAGATGATCACACCAAACTGAAGGGTATTCTTGTCACTGAGTAAAATATCAGGATGATACAGATTACACATATATATTTCTCAAACAGATGATAATGCTTTTTGCTCCAAACAAGGCACTGTACAACCACTGATATCTAATTGATCTTTGTTTGACGCGGCGGTGTGTTGCATTGTGCTAAGCCTTAGGAATACGTTCGCCACCTTACCTCTTGTTACCCTGTGTGAGTGCGCAGGTTCGAATCTCGTGCTGGGATACTTATGTGCGAAGGGATTGCTTGACTTCTCGCCGCCATAGGGTGCTTCACGTAACCGCTGGTCAGATACAGCTTCCTCCACCATCAAGCCCATGCTTCCCAATACAAATAACTGGCCAACTTACCTAGTAACACTGAACTTTAGGTTGCAGTTGCTGCCACTCTGTACGATGGGGGGATAACAAGACTCCACATAAGTTGGATCTGCTCCACGTAGATACTGTTTGTCCTCAAGAGATTTTTCAACGTATTCCGCTACTTTGAAATGCTTAACTCTCTGAAAAATTAGCATAAGTATAGTCATCTTGGTTGATTCTTAAAGAGATGGCTAGAGTGTAGAGACAAATATCATGTTTTGAAATGTGCAGGGGGTTGTGCGATGAACTGCCTATCCTTCGTTTTACGTTTTATGTTCTGCAGGATCTGTTATTTAACTTGTGTTACAAGGATGCTTGAATAAGATAAAGTCAGGAGTTTATAGCGACAGATGAATACAATCTCATTCCATATGCGTGAAATGAGATCTCGCCAATTTGTTATCATGGTTTCACTGTACCAACACTAGGGCTGTCCAAGTGAACCAAATATTCGAAATCGAATCGCAAAATATTCGAATCGTTTTTCGGCTAATTTTCGAATCGCTAAGATTAGGTACATAAAGCGGAAACCACCTTTGCAAGATGTTTTTTATCGGGCAAGCGGCGGCGCTTCGAGTTTAGGCCACTCTTGCTCCTGGCTTAATTGGTTTCCTGATATTTCTCTCGCCTTCATTTTGTGATAAACATGTCATTACTAATGCCCGCCCGGAATTTGAGCAACAGTTTTATCTACATTAATGGTTTGTTATTATTTTGCTGAAAGTTACAAAAAAAAACATAACCGTAGTGAATAGGATTAAAATAGCATCTACAGGCTTTACATGTCCTATTAAAACTGAATCCATTAGAATTGAGATTGCAATTTTTGAACTGTGCAATTTTTACTCTTAACACTCAACAGTTTTCGAGACCCAAATTTTGGAGTCCTCCAATTTTTTTGACCAGTTCATACAAGCGTGTGATCTCCTTTCATAAATCTGAAAACATTGTATTGCAAAATACCAGCAGTAAGTAAGATGCAACTGCGCATACGTCACCGCAACATCGAAGAGCATGTGTTTATTGTATAATAAAGACAGATTTCGGATTGCGCAATAATATTCGATTATTCGGTTCGATTCAGCCAAAATATTCGATTCGAATCAAAAAATTATTCGATTTTGGACAGCCCTAAGTCCAACACCATATCTTAATTCAAAAGAAGTCCTTCTTAAACATCAATAATCATCTGGACAGAACATAGAAAAACCTTAACATAGCAAAGGTTAATTTAATTCTCTTGGAACATTATGTATGCGGAGTTTTTTGTGAATAAATCAACTAGAACACGGTACGTACCCTATCAGCATCAATAACATCTTTCATATATTCTTTGAAAACTTTGCTATAAACTTCCAAGGTAATTCCTGATGCTTTTCTCAGTAGATTCAATTCCGATTCTTCTTTGACTGCCATTATTGATGCCACATTTGCTGATACATCAATCTGAAATTATGAAGGTGAAGTAATATTGATGAGACTCACAGACAGAGACAGACTTTTATCAAGTTATGATTCCACATTGGTAAACTGTTTTACAGTTTTTTTTTTTGCCTCACGCTGTATATATATAAAACATGAAGAAATACAGATAGAAATGAATAAAATATCTTCAAGAAACAAGTATATGAACAGTATATCTATGAAAATAGTAGCTCAGCCATATAATTGATTTCTCAGTACAAAACTTGTAAATTAAAAAAAAAAATGCCAGAGAATTAATATAAGTAATAACCTATATCTGAATTATATTTGAAGAAAAAAATACTGTAGAAAATTTGAGTAAAATAACATGTGACATACCTTATTCAAGTCAGACTTTTTCAACACTTCATTCCATGCATCAATAAATTTGGACGAGAATTTATCTTTTGCAAAAACTCCTATTGTTTTACCCTGTAATGAAGAAAAATTAGTTTTGAGTATAAGCTTCATTTCAAGAACCCGTAAAAGCATATAAAGTTATTAACCATAAAATAGCACAAATAAGGTAGGTCTAATAGACAGATCTAGGTGAGTTTATTTCATTATTTTATGTTCTTCTATGTTGTATAACCTGAATATCAACTATTGTTATGAATTTCATACACTATTTACCTGTTTATTGCTAGTTACTGGTTTGTTACATTTATTAATTTGTCATACTATATGGATGTTTCAATGTCTGGAATAAATGACAATAGAGAAAAGCTTTCAAGAAATAATGATTTTAAAAATGGAATAAAAATCTAACAAGAACTTCTCGCCAAAACATTACTAATTATAATAATATATTGATCTTGTAAATCTTAATTACCGGTAGATATTTGAACCTTGGGTGTCGCTGCGAGATAACCAACTTTGGTTCGCAGCGGCTTCCCTTCCCCAGTAAAATTATGTTCTTTACCTTTTCGCATATTTTTTTTGCATTTGTTTATTCTGTTTATTATTTTACTGGTTGGAAAAAATATACTTGACTGTGACTATGAACCTACATTTTTGCTCGACTTTAAGAACTGAATGATTTTTTGGAAGTTTTCAGTGTTGTTATCTTTCTCCCTCTGAATTAAGTTGATTTCAGGAATTCCATTCGCATTTTCATTGTTCTTTGTATTTGCCGCTGGTTTCAAAAACTCAATCTGAACAAAAAGAATGTTTCTCAATAAACAAAAGACAAAAAATCAAGAATATTTCAACATAAGCATTTCTAAATATAATGAATATAAAACAAACAAAAAACTCTTACTTTCTTTTTACTTGCCATGAACGATATGCTATTCTCACAGAAAGCCAAGATCACATCAGTTAGCTCGTATCCAAACAACCATGTCTAAAGAAAGCATATAAAGTATAAAGTATCTTAAAGCTGTGCCTGCAGTAATGACAGTCTGATTTAAGCAACAACAATTTGCTAGTGGTTCAGCTATTATGATTTTGAAAATCAAAATTGAGATATTAACCTGGATGGCTGTGGATTTTGAGTAAACAACATCTTCATCACTTCCCATCGCCACGACAACAGCATCTGATTTAGAGAATCCGTCATCTCCACTAGCATCCTATATTCAAAAAGTCTTCAGCTTGTTAGCATTTTGAAAATATATGTACGGTAAATATTGTGAAATATAACATACCAATCAAATCGAATTTATAAAATTTCAATTAGGAAATACGTTAGTATTTTAGTTTTAGAGTATATACCGATACAGATCATTCATAAACAATAACAAAATGGATGCATGCGATCAAAAACGTCTAAATTTTCCTAAATGAAATGTTAAGCATAATCCCTACCTTCCAAGCAGTATATATTTTCTTGAGACGACGATAAAAAGCTTCTATATCCAAGGAAACAGACATGATGATGAATTTAGATTATTAGCATTAGTTGGTTCTATGCTAGAAACAAAAACACTTGTGATTCATGTTATATTGGAATAAGATATTTTCAGAAAAAATAATTCTAAGCAATTCAGATAGTCATTCTTAAATACTATAATTAGATAATTAAATTATTCAGTTGCAATTTTCGAATTGAAATTTCCAATTTTACCTAGTCTATGTATGGTTAGACATAAGTCAGAACAGAATAAATAAACACAAACGGATATTGAAATGGAATTTCATTGTCATAAAGATAGTCCAAACAGATAAACCAATGGATTAATATAACATAAATCAAGCCATAAAATTTTGAATTTCAACAGAATAAGTCTCTATGACGCGGCACTGATGATGGCTTCGTTGCAGTCTATTGCCACCTGCGCTTCAGCCTTTTCAATATCCGTTGTTGCTGACGATAATTCCGCTTGAGCTTTTGTTAAATTTGTTTTTGCGGCATTGACATCTAGTTGATCCAAAGCTACGGCCTCTTCTGCGGCTATTTGAACCGTAGAATCTTCGTTCACCGTAAAAGATCCGCTACTGACGAAAAACTTGTTTGATTTTCCATCTTTTTCGAATACGGTTAGAACACCGGGTTTAAGTACTCCGAAAATAGGAACGTGCTTTGCTAGAATACCAATGACCCCAGCCCCGGTGGGTACATCGGCTTGTTTCACATCAGTGCTTTCATTGTAGAAGGCCTCTACTGGAGATGCAAATGTAAAAACCATATCCTCTGATTGTGCAACAGCCGGTGCAGCATCTGCGTAAGTTCTTGTGCTCTGAGCCACCAAACGTCGAGCTACAAGTCCAGTGCGACAAAAAACACGGGCAGCAAGAGACGCCATAGTTCCTTATTTTTTATAGCTCGACGAAACTATACTAATAAATCTAAAGCAAGATTTTAGAAGCATTATCTACACTTCCATTTAACTTTAATGATAAATTATATTATCGAAAATTATATTATACCCGATAATTAGATGCATCATTACTTATTGATTTTAATCGGTAAGTATGTTGATAGGTATTTGTCTGTTAGATGCACGCGATATCTCACGAAAGCGAGATTGAATCTGCTCCAGATTTTGCATGTGCATTCATCATATCTCGGACCAGAAGCCTATTGATTTTGGGCGAAATATGCTGTATAATTAGAGAGTTATTAATTAATCAGTGATGGGACACAAGGTGTCACTATGGAGTAAGAACGCTGTTTTGGGGGATCCCCTAACTTTCGATCGATAAGTCTTAGGTCAGAAAGACCGATATTCTCGTTTCAAATGTTATGAAAATGATAAAAATATCATGTTCAAATTTAACAAATATCTAAGACTTTATGTATCACATAATTATTGGGTTAGTTGGCTGTTTTTGTATCATTCCAGATGCATAAACATAATTTATTTGGCCTGTATTTGTATCATTCCAGATGTATAGACATGATGGGTAGAAAAGCTCTAAACTTATAGCATTTTATGGCCTCATCCATGAATGGCTGTTGGACATAGACAGCAGGTTTGAATTTTAGGGCAGCTGTACGAGGTATACAAAGGCTATGGAGTGAAGTGTTTGTAAAGACTTGATCTTATTTTAATTATTTATTTATTTTAAATGTCTCCAGCATAAATAAAAAATGACTATAAATATGGCGATTATCTGTGTAAATTTTTGTCTCAAGAAGTTGGAGAAAGAAAATCATTAGTGCTAATGCCAAAAGTATAAAGAAAGCAAATATAACCAAATGGGAGTAAAATCACAAAATGAAAGAAAACAAAAATAGCGGTAAAAGATGTCCGACATAGACCACCACTGAAACCACATACAGACATGGTGTTGAGAGTATCGATGGCAATTATAAAGACTGGAGATGACATATCGCTGTATTGCGAGCAAAATGTGCCGCAGTGCCAAACTGGGTAAATACAGAATATGTGGAGAGCTTCTTCGTGGATGAAATTTTGGGGAATAGAATTTTGTGAGAATGTGGTTTTGTAGGAAAGGATTTTTGTGCAAATGGTTCTTTGAGGGGGGTAACCTTGTGTATTATGATGGAGGTATTTTGTAGTCAAAATATTTGAAAATACGAAAAGAAAAGAAGATGCAAAAGAATGCATCTTTTTTAAAATGTCGTTTCATAAAAATATGGCCAAAAATCGTTTGCTTGCAGATTTCTTAATTTTCATCAATTATTTCAGTATTCTAAAGTCTTCTATGTCGATTACTGAGTTTAAATACATTTATACTTATAACCAAAAATTGCAATGCGAAAAGAAATTGATTTTTAAACTGAAACTTAGTTTCACTTGCTCAACTGGCAAGATTTAAGGTATTCGAATGTGTCTCATTTTTTCCGCATGGAAAATCTCTCAACAATTTTTTCAAGATGCAAATTCTAGAAAAAAAAATTTTTTTAAGTTATACAACAGTACAATCATTTCAGAATTCCCGCCCTGATAACTTTCAGACCTCCTAATTTGACAATGCCATGCCGCCATTGTTTCATTTCAGTACAGCAGTAGGCTGTGTTACCTGTGTACAGATGTAAGTGTCAACCGAGACAAAAGAAAAATCTCACCCATATTCTGATTTCCCTCTAGCCTTGGTCTTACCAAAATTATTTTTTAATACAATTTCGAGTTTATTACATTTTTTATCAATCCTAAATAGGTACATGAACGAAATCACGGCACAATTTGGCAAAAAGCACCGCCAACACCAGTTGGTCGACAGCGCCACCATTCAGATCTTCTTTGACCTCTGTGAGCCCTTCTTATTCGAATGCAAATCGCTGAGTTGAAAATGGGAAAGGGCGCAATTTCATAGCAAAATATGGATTCAATTTATGACAAATTACTTTGTTCTTCGATGCCTGTGAGTCAAATTTTTGAATCGATAATGCAAAAAAAAAAAAAAAAAAAACAGAGGACAAACAGATTTACAAATACATACCAGTAATGACTGTTATTTTCGGGCTCTAGCGTCACCCAACAGTTTCATTTAAACAATGTATTATTTGGGACAGGTTTAGTGCTATCCACCGAGAGAAAAATCGCTAAAACTGCTTTATCATATAGTGAAAGTGACTCTCGTGTTTGTTTATCATACCGGTTATGTCCAACAAACGCTAAGTATAGACTTCCGTTGTGCAGTTTCTTCATATAAGGTGTGTGTTGGAGTGCAGGTTACACATCTTTTTGAAAAGAAGACCTCAGATGGCCTAGATACGTTACTTTTTTGACTTTCCGAAAGTACGGTAATCCTCGGTTCAACAGTTTAGATAAGAGTTCTATTGATTTGATCAAGTTGAATATATAACACACAACTAGGCTACATGGTATCATACCAAGAGCGTGTGTCTGTTTAGACACAGGCGACCAAAGAATAAAATGAAAAATTTGTTCCAAACCCCAGAACAACTATTTGACATCTACGTGAACCAAATTCTACGGTTTAACATTTTCGAAGTTGGTCTTATTTTTGACTTCAAGTTCCTAATTCCCGAACGAACTACGAGAAGCAGGGAATCTAATAACTAGAACTTGTCGTAAATAATTACCAAACGACATCTGTATACGTAGGTTACGTATATTGATTTGCTTTAATATGGATTAGAGCATGATATTATGAACATTATGATATTATGAGCATGAACACGTAGGTCTACACAACTCGACCAAATTTAACGGAGTGAAATAATATTATTGGCAATGAATATTAGCCGATAATACTACGTATTTTTTGTTTTGTTCACAATTTCGTCTATCGTCCCAAACGACCGACGCAATGGAATACCAGTTGGCGCAAAACAGTTTTTAGTGTGTGTGTTATCATGTTCTTGTACCCAAGCGGAGTTATTTTATATATATACATCAAAATGTCGACGTGAAATTATATTTTTAAATCAAAATTTGCACAATCACCTATCCCCCTAATCCATTCTTTTTGTATAAATTGGATTTCACCGCCGTATTTTGCAACGCCCTGGGCATTAGAGATAATCCGTTGACAAAAAACCTAATTTTACATTTTTAAACACCCGACATGCTTCTGGTAAATAACTTAGACGCCGATAGCTTCTGTCCAAGAGGGTTTGCGAATGGAAAGACATTGCTTCGTCGCAATAGCTACGTACATATTTCGGTAAATAAGTTGTCTTTGACCAAAACAATAATGGATGTAAATTCGGGATTTTTGGCCCGATGGAAATATTCGCTGTTAGAAGGGGATGAAGGATCGATGAAAGAATATTTGAATTGTTTATTTTTTTCTAGGCTATATCATAAATAACATACGCAAATAACATTTTATTATAAATTATTCAGTGCTTAGACTGACAAAGTAGCCTTAGGTGGTTCTAATACCCATAATTTTTAAGATTTTTTAGGCAAGATCGAAGCATTGGCATTGACCGCAACAAAAATTAAGGTAATAAAATTAAAAACGTTGTAAAATTTGAAATTCAAAGATACGAAAATTCACTTATGATGCCCATCTGGCGAAAGGGACGTAATTAATACAATTCAATTATTAAATTTCCTATGAATTTTTGAATGCTGACTTGTATTAGTTACTTAGAGTGAATAGTAAGACTCAGTCCCGTTATTAATGCAGGAAAGATTTTTCAGAAATGCAGCATGTGTTATATTGGTTCTGCCTTACTTGATTTGTCCCTAAATAGTATTTTGCAATTTGTTTACAGTATTAATAATATAGATACATATAGCTAATATACGTATACATGTAAATTTTGGAAATTATTCTGTAGCGGATACACATGTCTTGGAATAAAAGTCAAGAAAGTAAAATGGAATATTTTATTGACTGGAGGGTGAAATCTAATTCACAATCTGGAAAGGCATTCAACCACAATGTGTCAAAAGCTAACTCAACATATACAACAACAATCAAATATTATTTTCCAGAGGACCCAGTGGTGAAGTCCATATCATATTCAAATGTATCCAGGGAAGAGCAAAAAATACTACAAGCAATGTATAGTTTTGAAAAGCCCAATATGACAATGTTGAGAATACCATCATTCATATATACAATTTGCTGCTTATATAATTTACTGATGCTGTTAAAGTTTTTTCAAAACAACCCTAAAATGGTCAAAAGAAAATCACACCGAGGGAAAAATATTTATGGAAAACTACTTACAATTTCGCGTCTCTATGTTGCATACTTTTTATCAATATATTTCTTTTATAGTAGTTTTTCTTTCATACTCGAAAGCATGGAAAATATTGACTGTAATATTTTGGGGAGAGTTGAAAATATGCTTTATTGGATTAGTATTTCGTTAATCTATATTGTGTTATGGTTGAGGCAGCGTGTTATATACGGTAAGCCGGTTTTAAAATATTTAGCGTCAAAAGCGACGTCCCATTTTAGCAAAGCAGCTTTAATTACGGCATTGATTTTGCCAATATGCAATATATCTATCTTTTGTTGGGCAACTATATTTGCCAGATACAAAGGAGTTTGTGCGATTGTAGGATTAAGAAATATACCAAGTATCGCCCTCACTATTAGTGAATTTTTCGTTCCAATCTATGTACCAATTACATTATTAGGTCTTTTTATATGGCCTTTACTGCGCCATCATGCAAATACGAGACAAAAACCAGGAGATCGGAATTCCGTGATTCGTTGCCTTCCAAAACTGATTTTATTAACAACAGGCTGTCTTGTTACAGATACGGTTGCAATGGCATGTAATTCCAGCATACCTATTATGTATAGCTTTATTGGCCGTCAAACTTCAGTTTTTGTGAATGCTTTATTTTTGAATCTTACTTTTTCTGACTGGAGATCGGTAATGTTTCCATGTTCCAGGCGCACACATGGAAGGGAATTGCCAGGTCCCGGTAAAATTCTATTAATAAGGGGCAGTATTCTGTGG